TGTATGTGTATTTTGAGGCTGTTGTTGTTGTCGTCAGTACCGCACTCGACGACGATATTGTACTTGGGGTGCCTAAAGCCAGTCAAGTCTTCGATAGATACCTCAAAGACCTCCCGAAGCTTGTCTATCACAAGAAGACCACTCGTAGAGGGGCTTGCAGAAGTTAAAAAGTTTGATTTCAATTAATAGGGGATTTTGGCAGATTTGAATTATTACTGACCCACTTCTGAAAAACTCGGCTACCTTGATGGGATTTGAACCCAAGCCAGAAATCGAAAGGCCTTAGTACAGACAACGCTCTAGCTAACTGAACTACGAGGCAGGCAAATTGACCCAAGGGGCTCGTAGCTCAGATGACTGGAACGTTGGCTGTGGTGACGTCTTCTTCTTGCTGTCGTAGGTTAGAATCCCACCGAGGCCATCAAGTTTTTTCATAAAAGTTAAATTATAGTTAAAGTTAAATTAAATTAAAGTTAAATTTCGTCGATGATTTAACAAAAAGTCTGATCCAGTGCTGCCAAGTATTTCACATCTAGTACCTTCATTCAGACCAAAAAGAGGTGACTATCATGAAATACGCTGCTCAAAAATAGACATTCGTGAGGTTTGGACGAAACAGTTGGATGCGACTTTGATGATGAACTAAAGATAATAAACAGCAGGCGAAAACGGCCAGCATACTTGAGTGGCCGAAGAATACCCTCGTCGGTAGATTTTGCAATGTGTGTCATGAGATGCTTGCAAAGGGAGGGAAGGCAATCGACACATTCATCCGCACAGGATGCTGCCCCAAGAAGCAGGAGCCGGCAGAGAAAGTTGAAGAGGCTGGCTTCAGTCAACCGTAGTTGCAATGACGTCGAGTTGAGAATCTCTGCCTCACTGGTTGTGCAAAGTCCGTAACGAACGCAAGCAAGTTCCAGGAAACGTGACAGGTTGGACTGAATGGCTACAAGTTCTCCGGCTGGTAGAAAAAAATCTAAAATATGGGAGAAGGATGAGGACCCATTGGAACACCAACTTGGAAGCAGAAGAACAGTATGAACTAGGCCTGCTGCATTACACAACGAGAAGGAAAAAGAGCTCCATTGTACTAACTAATGGGAAGTGAGGGGGTGATGTTGGCCTGGTGAGCAGACTTTTATTATAATTCCACTATGTATATACACATACGATTTTAATAAGCCAGTATTTACCGCGGACGAAAAAAAATGTTAGGGAAGGCGGCGATATTACTTTGCGTTGGAAAGGAGGTTTTCGGATTGAAACATATTTTCAGGTCTTTTATTGATGAAACTGCTAATGTATATTAATCAAAAGTCGCTAACTTTTCAACGCGTCAGAAAGAATAAAAGGCGCACCGGCAACAGCAGGACCATCTTCAAGAGCGGCAAGACGTTTCACAAGCACAACCATCAGGCGATTAAGGAAGCCCAGGTGAGGTGTCCATATGACGAGCTGGAGGTCAGGAGGTTGCAAAGATACGAAAATATGTGTGAAACATGCATGATCCAAAGACTGATTCAAAGAAAATGCAAACTTTTTTAAAGAATAAATCAGAATGAAATAAGCATTAAAATAGTGGGCAGTTATGAGGGAACGTTTATAGGCTTTAAATGTTGGCACATGATCTAAGGGTTGCATTCTTGAGGGTCTATAAGAATTTTGAAGTTGATCTGAGGCCTAAAAGTTCAGTAAGCTGCAATACCCTCTCCTAGTTCGAAAACTCAAAAAAATTGAGAGCCGGAGGACAAAAACTGGCCGGATGAAGCAGGTAACCTTTCTTACCGCCTGCCTAGAGAAGTGGTGGCGCTGTGTTGTGAGTTCACAAAAACAGAGGCACGACGGAAACCAAGAGGCAGGCTATATTGAAGTTCTTGAATGCGCGCGACTTCGAAATTCAGAAAAAAATGCTTCACGGAAACTGTGAAATTTGCATTTATGTCGGTACAACAAACCTCTATGCTATGAAAGATTGAAACAGCCATTATTAGGGTTTTGATTTTGGTGTTTGTTTGAAAGTTTTTACGAGAGACCTATTCTGTTGTTAATGTCGATGTGTCGAATGAAGCGATTCGAAAAACTTTGTAGGAACAAACACTACTTTCTTTTACTCTGCCGCATAGCAAGATTATTATTGACTCGCATGCTTTCGCACTTGTACCTATGATTGGATGAGCTTTGTTTTTTAAGGTTCTAAATTCGCTAATTTGCAGTGACAGAACAGCATCATCGACGCGAACAGAAACGAGGTCCTTGCAAAACAACTCACGCTGCTTTCGCATTCATCAAGCCAGTTTTGACTTCCGGTTTTTAAAAAAAAGTTTGTAAACAGTAGTTGGAAGCTTCGCAAAGGCTATCGAAATTCGTTTTTCTTTAAATAGATGACAGTAACCGCCTTGACAATGACCTTGAATTGGCCTGGGAAATAAAAGTCGGTAAAAAAGGCTCGTGTGCTACAGATTTGGTCATTTAATTCAAAATATGACAGGAATACAAGGAAGTTTCTTCGAACTTTCTCTAAGCTTATAAAGACTCTACACAGGCCTCTGAAAGTAACACAAAACACACTAGGTACTATGCTATTCTGACGATAATTAGTGACCATTTTAAAATCACCAGAGAAAGCTCGCACACATCTGCATATTTAACAGTCCGACCGTCAAGAAGATCGGAGATAGGAGAGGGTACACGTGACTAGAGGGACGGGAACCTGCTCCTGGGCGTGCCATCACATAGCTGCGTATGTAGCAAAGTGACTGTGTGTTCCATGCAAACTTTTATCGTTCTTACAAGCCAAATGTGTCGATTTGCAAAAGCTGTATTGAAAACTTTACTACTTTACTAACCAATAGAAAGAGTCGGTGTCCCACGAAGTACAGATTTTTCTAAGTACAAATATGCGCGCATCAGGTCGGGGGGGGGGCTGGGGTGTTACTTCGACCGCTGTCACAAAGCAGGTAACACTGGCATGATAATTATGACGTCACATTCAAGAAAACTAATAAATCTTAGTTAACACGTTCAGAAGGGTACATCACGGCTTTATTTGGCGTTGGACACGAGACCAATTATGTTGCGAACCTTAAATCGATACGGGTAGGTGTCGAATACCAACATGTGAAAACATATATGAAAGCGAAGCCAATCTGTGTGTCAGGAAAGATCACTTCAAATGCGAGGTCATCGTGCTCGGAACCCAAAGGCCCCAGAGCCTCCCAAAAATAGTTCTACAGTAGGGCAGGCACGCTTAGGAAATGCAGTTTGCCACCTAGGTTACTGCTCTATATCTCTGTATTAAGACTGTAAACACTGCATAAGATTTTCGACAAACTAGTTCGGTGGCCTCCTGGTACCGCTGGTACCTTAAAGTTGCGCAACGTACCATAGTACGGGCCTCTTAAATTAAGCCACCATTCTTTCCTCCCTTTATTCGCATGTAAATGTTCTTATATATACGTCGGTTGGCCTACTTCGCCCATTATAAAACGATTTTTATCCCTCTTTGTATATTTGAACTACAATGAAGTCATCAGTGGACAACGCTAGCGCCATTTTGAAAGCAGTCCAATTTGGCCTATAGTTGGCGAATTTTCCAAGGATAGTTATCCACGATGTCGAAAAATGCAGCAATTGAAGATTGTGGATTGCTTTTGATTTGCCGGTTTTGTGAGTTTGTGCGCCTGATTTTATTCCTTGTTAACGGAGGACGCTTATGCTGAAAATTTTGGAATGGTATTTTCAAAATAAAGCATCTCTCTCATAGTAAAATTATCATACAAGAATGACATCTACTTTTATTATAGGACAGCAAAAGCACTTAACTGACCATTGACTCCTAATAAATCAGGAGTGGCCGTCCCAATGAACCTCGTCTTTGACAATCACACGTTTTAACTAAAATTAGCAGCCAACTAAAAGGAAGGCTTAAGTGCGTGTAGCAACTACAGTAGGCAATCCAAAACCGGCAGGCTGAACTCCTAAAAGAGATTTTATTTACGAATTATGGGAAAGTTCTTTGGACGATCGAAAAAAAGGTTGCTCGGAATTCAAAGTTGCGTTTCATTTTAACTTTCGTGCATTACGGTGTTCCCTAAAAAACTCTCTTCAATAAGATCCCCCATAAGCCGATGCTCGTTCCATCAAAACGAGGGTTTATGTGTGATCCTGACTAATGTGTACGTGTTGAAGAAAGCTTGAACTTTATTTTAATCTCTATGAAATTGGGAAGAATTTCTGGACTTCGGTACATATTTTACACAGCTGCAAATATTCAATACAACCATGGACAAGAGGAGTCCTGAAAAATACGAAGTATAAAATAAATTGTTGGTGGAACTATTTTATGCCATGAGAAGTCACATAGCAGCATATGCTCAAACGCATAAAACCTGGCAAATATATGAGGTAGAAAGCAACGAATATGACGTAGCGACGTATGCTAAGACTCCACTTGTGAGCATCAAATACATCTTCACAGGAAAAACGTATGCCCCCAAGACAGCTCAGCAAGTTTGTAAGAACTTTGGCGAACCACCAATCTACATCACACTTTTTGGCAAAGGTTTGACAGGAGCTGACTTGCGCCATCTTTACTAAAGCCATGTTTTTCCAACCAGCAGGCGAATGCTGGTCCATTGAGATATTTATTAAGTAAAAAATAACTACTATTTAACTTTAGTAGGTAATATAAAAAACAAAAAGAAACAGGAGTCAGAGACGTGCCTGATCGAATTTCGCGTCGTAAAATACTCTGTCGTCTGGCATTGATTCTATCACAGGTGCGATCAGGGGATCTGCCAGTCGGTGAAATAGTTTGGAAAGCAATATCCGGGCAAGAGCGTAATCATTTGAAGACGTAGCTGTTGAAGCCGAGAGGACGGCGGAAGATGTAGTTGCGACTAAACAGTCGGCAAGCAAGCCCTGTGGCGCCACATTAGGTAG